GCCTGCTTGGGATTCTCTCCCTCTCTCTCTCTCTCTCCCCCCCGCTCTGCCCCTCCCTTGCTTGCTCTCTCTCAAAATAAATAAATAAACATTTTAAAAAATACATAATCTGACCATGCCCTTCCTCCAACATACACCTCAAAACCCTTATCATAAGCTGTCCTCGGGATCCTTCACCGGCACACCTCTGGCCCCGCCTCCCTCCTCCCCACCTCACCTTAAGCTCCCCTCCTCCTCCACTCATACTTCTGTCGGTTCCCCAAGGCCTTCAGGCACGCCACCCCGCCTTTGCCTGGCAGACTCCTACTCACCCTTCAAGACCTTAAAGACCATTCCTCAAGACAGCCCCTCCTCACCCGCTAGGCCACAGCCGGTCCCCCTGCAATATGCTCCCAGGGCACCCCAGATTTCCCCCTTCATAAAGTTCATCGTGGTTCTAATTACTCAGTCTGCATCCTCCCCTCAAACCAGAAGTTCCATGAGGGCAGGGCCTGGTGTCTGGCTTGTTCACAGCTCGCTCCCCAACGTGGGCACAAAGGCTGAACACAGAGCTACAGTAACAAGCACCTGGAGCTGGGGCTGAGGTTAAGGAAAATGACCCACTCAGAGGGAGGCAGCATGGAGTGGGTGGGGTATGGTACACACACACACACACACACACACACACACACAGAAGCTTGGGAAACCTCCCGATCTAACCAAGCTTCCAACGCGTGGCCTCAGGATCAGGAGACAAAGAAAAGTACTGGGTCATCAACCGCATTTTAACCAGCCGAAAACGATAAGGGACGGTGGTCTGCAGATGACCTAAGGCCAGGGCAGCCAAAGAATGGGTTCAGCCCAAGATCACCTTCACACTGGTAGCTGGGCTTCTTTGCAGCTGTTTCTCTTCCAGCTTTCTTGAAAGAAAACTGGCCTAGAACACAGCGAAAGCGTAAGGTCTACGACGTGTAGACTTCCTACGTTCATATATTGCAAGATGACTGCCACCACAGTATTAGCTAACGCCTCCATTTAGTCGGGGTGCTTTGGTGCTAAATGACCACCCTTGGTTCTTTAGACTGAAGCGTCCCCAGGGAAGTGTTGTCATAGCCGTGGCCCCCGGTACCCGCCAACATGCAGCAAACGAATTCCGCACTCCCCAAGCAGTGTTGTGGGAAGTCCTCTGAGGACATGCCCTCCGGGAGGAGGTTCTCTCAAGCAGAGCACTGGCTCCTGTACTAAGTTAGCCAATCAATGTCTCCTGCAGAATCCCACACGTTGAGGGAACAACCTCTGCCCAAGGAAGATGCCAGGCAGGAAGGCTCCCAGCAGGGACCCGGCATGCTTCTCCACCAGCTGCCCACTCGTCTTTTGCTTACATGCCCAGCTCTCCAGGTAGATGTCAGGGCTGTAGCTACGGAAGAAAACACAACAGCTCTACAGCCTTGACAGCTGGCTAGATTACCCAAGAACATCCCCTTCGATCACCGGGCAAAAGTGATGTGAGCAACATGAAATGAAACCTAGGCCTGCAAAGATAGGCCCCCACCTTGAACAGGTCCCACACAAAAACCAACCACAAACCCACTCGAGAGCTGAGACAGGTCTGGTAGCCTTCTTGAGGTTATCTGACACAAGAAAACGATAGAGCCCTTGGGGAGAAAGCTGCTTCCTAAGAGTTGGACGGACGTATGGCCCAGGGCTCACGCGCTCCACCTGCTTCAGAATGCGGCCCACCTCGGAACTTCCCACCACCATTTTCCAAACGAGCCAACACAGTGAAAGACTGGATAAGTTCTCCACACAGCGGCCAGAATGAATTTGTTAGAACATAAATCAAAATGTTGGCAAGGACGTGGAGTAAATGGAACTCTTAAACATTGCCAGTGGGAATGTAAGTAATAGTACAACCACTTTAGAAAACGCTTTGGCAGGGCGTCTGGGTGGCTCAGTCGGTTAAGTGTCCCGACTCTAGATCTCATGAGGCTCAGGTCTTCATCTCGGGGTGGGGTTGGGGGTGGGTGGTCATGAGTTCAAGCCCCACGTCGGGCTCCCCAGCGGGCATAAAGCCTACTTAAAAAAAAAAAAGAAAAGAAAATGCTTTGGCAGCTTCCCATAAAGTTCAACATTCATCTACCCTATGACCCCAGCAATTCCATTCCTAGGCATTCATCCAAGGAAAATGAAAACAAATATTCACAGGAAGGCTTAAACATGAATGCTCAGGCATAAAAGCCAAAGTAGGGACACAATCCAAATGTCTCTGAACAGGAGAAAGGATAAACAAATTGTGGTATGTCCACACAATGGATAGATACTACTCAGCACTTAAAAAGGAACTACTCAAGACCACCACGCTGAGCAAAGACACCAGGCACAAGGATTCATACTGAGTGATTCCACTTATACAAGGTTCCAGACCAGGCAAAACAATCTATGTGAAAGAAATCAAATAGTGGTGGCCTCTGGATAGGGTTGGGGAGAGTGGAAATTGACGGAGAAGTAAGTTTTTGAGTCACGGAAATGTTCTGTATCATGACAGGGTGTGGGTTATACAACTGCCTGCATTTGTCGAAATTCATCAAACAGTAACACTTGAGATCTATGCATTTCACGGTAAGCAAATTATATCGATAAACGTCAATGGTTTAAAAAAAAAAACCCATAAATCATATCATTACATAATATGCTCAATACTTTTCAGTGTCTCCCCATTTGTTCATTCAATGGATATTAAGTACTGAGCATATGCCAGGCAGTGTTCTGGGCGCCACGCGTTCAGAAAGAACAGAGATCCAAATCCCTAATCCCAGGGAGCTTACAGTTTTAAGGGGAAGACAATTAACAAAGTCTGGTAGGTTAGAAGTAGTATGAACTGTGGGGCGTCTAGGTGGCTCAGTCGGTTGAGCGTCTGACTCTTGATTTCAGCTCAG